TTATAATGCGCATTATAAGGTAAATTATTACATCAGCAAAAGTAGGTACTATTCTTATTGACTATATTACACTTGTGGAGTATACACACTTCATGGCAAAGATACGTATTCATGTTTAATGAAAAGATTACGGACTTTCACACAGGATATACTCATTCCTAATGCGGGAGTTGTCTTTTTTAAAAGAAAAGAAAAGAAAGAATCCATCTACCCAGCCTGATTAGCTCGGGGTAAACTGTACAAGTCTAGACATATTATTTTGATAGAAAAACGCGATGAAAACTAAGATAACACGTGTATCAATATTAACGTTGATTATTCATATTGTAAAGCGTGCTTTAAGCAGCTTAAAATATAAATTAACTATGTATGGAACTAATGTAGGTATCAGTAATTTACTTGCTGTTGCAAACCTCTGCGATAAGCAAATTTGACAAAGCTATTGGTCCTCCAAGTTATAAATAAATAAATAAATTGTAATTGTATGATAACATGTCCGTGTGGCGACGGATTATGTTTACAGATAGTCACCACCCTAATTTATCCCGTGTGTGTCGTAAGACTCGAATAAGGGAGCAAAAACCGCGAAGGATAAAAGAGAAGGACAACTTGACACTAAACCTGTACAAACCCGTCTATATTTATAATAGGCCAAAACCTAATAATAAATAAATATCTGGTGTCGGATTAAGAATAAGGAGTGTCACCAACCCTATTCATCCCGATGGTGTTGTAAAAGCCGACTAAGGGAGCAAACTATGCAGGACAACAGCACTGCAAAGAGAAGGAAAACGTTAAACAAAAACTATACCAACCCATCTGGCCAGCATAGTATAGTAGACCAAAACCTCCTTCTAAGGAAAGACCTATATCCAGCAGTGGACTACCCAAGACTGTGGTTGATGAATAACATATTGTAAAAGTGTATTAAAATATGCTACATAATGACTGGCCTGGTCTAGTTGTTACTGATCATGACTAGCCAGAGATCGTGGGTTCGTCCAGGACAATTAATTGCTTTTTTTAAAGACAACTCCCACTCTAGGAATACAATACTGTGTCGCTTGAGACTTAACAAACATACATGAAACGGACACCTAGATCACTCAGACTCAGGACAACAATTTGTGGATACATAAAGTGATGCCACAATACTTACAGATATATTTCGTGAGAAACAAGCATATTTAAGAGTATTATAAGTAAATGCATGGTATTTTTTTTTTGTAAATAAATATATATTAGCTTGCATTGCAGCTTACATGCGCTTAAAGAATTTGGTTAAAATGTAAATTTGTAAAGGTGTTAATAGTTATCAATCTTGGAAACTATGTAAATTGATTTATCTCTTAAGGTAGTTAACATAAAATGGCAGAAGCTGTGGACACATATTATTATTGTATGTACTAGATCAAAACGTTATGCATATTAGTTCTCAAGACATTATTTGTACGATACTTTGGTTTTAATTCTGTTGTTCGAAAACTCTCTAAACTAAACTAAAAACCACAAAAAATTAGTTAGGTCCAGTCAACTACTATGTTTTCAGAATACGAAACGTTTTTTAAAAGAACTCAACAAATTTTTAGTGATTTTTAGTTTAGTTTAGAGAGTTTTTGAACAAAAGAATTAGCACCATTGTTTGTTTTACTTAAAAAAAATAAACACTTAGCGTAGTAGGAAACGTCGAGGTGATCGCTTAAACCACTACTCCATCCGTACAGTCGTGTGATGAGCACGATCATTTAATTTTGTTCTTTATCTAGATATAATTGACCTAAACAAGTTAGTATTCAGTAACATATAAGTATATTTATCAGCAGTCTAGTCACTATAGTACTAGCTTTGCCTAGTCTTGCAGACGGCATGTGGGAGATATGCCATGCTAATAGCTACTAACCAATCTTAATTTTTCAATAAGTCTCAAACATACAACTTACTTCAGGCGTTACAAATTTCCGTATGCTTTAAATATATAAATTAATTTGTTATTTACCTCAAACAATTCCAATCAAATCGAACCCTTGAAGTGGCATATTTTTACACCAAAATGTAACAAGAAATAGGGCCAACCCTACTCCGGTAGCAGTCAATTTGTGGCGATGGAGGTTTCTTTGAAATCGTCCGTTTGATACCAGGTACGGACCTACATCTATCCGGGGTTCTTTTGGGGTCCGGCATACCGTGAAATTGACTCGCTCGATTGTCTAGCTGATTTAAAAGACTTGTTTGGCGAACGAATATCGCGCTTCGATCTATTCGTGCAATTTCGATTATCTTGACTTTTATTCGATAAACAAGCTTCAGATACCTTTAGTTACGTACAATTTTGATTTTGCTAAATAGTTTTTTGATATAATTGAATGTTAATAAGAACTGTTAACCCGACAATCGTTGTCTAATTAAACTTTTAATAAAATAATTATCCTTCTCTTCAAAATTATTGTTTTTTCACAAGACCCTTAAAAGAGACGTCTGTTTCAGGTATGATTTGTTTTTGACGATATCGTTTAAGATTTTTTTACGTTTGGAAATAGGCAATAGTCGTGACGACTAGTGGTTTTAGTGGTCGCCACGCCACTACTATGGAAAAAGAGAATATTTTAATGTTCACAAATATAATATTTATCAATTAAATTCGTTAATACTTCTAATACATTAGGTACACAATAACTTCTAAAGTCCACAAAATCTAAAATTTCTTAAAAGTTCCTAAGCGTCCTGTGCCTGACTGTTCAAAATTTTAAAACAATTACAATACAATAATTTATATTAATAGTAATTAAACATAAGTACAGTGTAAGGTAGTAAACAAGGTCTGATAATATTAATTGGCACTAACTTTGATTATACAATACGGCAATTTGTACATATACAGTGTTATAACTTGTATAAAAACACCGGTCAGGTACGAGTCGAACTCGTGCGCCGAGGGTTCCGTACCTACCCAGATTTTACGTAGATTTTCGCTAAAATTTGTAAGTGCCAAAATTTATCTTAATTTTCAACTGTTTTTATTTTTTGGAATTATTCCTTTATTTGTGCTGTAAGACGTTTCTTTTTGCCAAATTTCGTGATTCTAGGTCAACGGGAACTACCATATAGGTTTTTGACCCAAAACCTATAGGGTATTTCCGGTTGCCTTAAAATTGTCAATTTCGGTTAAAAGCAAGGTCTTACAGCACAAGTAAAGAGGAAATTCTGAACAATAAATGAAGTTGAAAATTAAGGTAAATTTTGGTACTTACAAGTTTTCACGAAAATCGAAATTTGCCCATATCTTTTTATCGTGTTGACTAAGGACCTTGATTTTTGTACACCTAATAGGGACCATAGACCTCAGTATCTGGTATAGATTTCAACTTGCTAGGTCTACCCGTTCCTTAGAAAATCGGTGGTGACACACGGACATTTTACCTTTTGAGGTACGGAACCCTAAAATACACGAAAAGGCTCCAATAAACTACGCAAGTCAAGACAAAGATATTGAGATATAGGCCATCGAAATAAAACAAAACATCTAAAACTTAATGGTAGATAGAAAGATAGATTGAAAACTCTTTATTTGTACACCGTTTTACAAGTAATATGATACATAAAATTGTCAGACATGTAATGTACAAATGGCAGCCTTATTGCTAAGGGCACTCTCTACCAGGCAACCTTAGGATGGATTAAAATGTTCTGGAGAGATAGTTTAGTTTAGAAATAATTATTAAACAAATAAATTCTTTAAAAAAAGAAGTTGAACAGTCTTCAAACAATACTGACAAAGAGCACTAAAAATAATTACTAATCAATATAACAGGTAACATTATAACAGCAATAATCCCTTCTAGTCTGGTCTGTCCGATGCTGTGTAAGCATGAAAAAACCCTTTTATTTTGACATTACAAACAGACACTTCAATTTTATTTATTCGCGTAGAGTATTCAAACTAATATTAACATACATTTTAATTATCGGTTAATTTCAATTGCACTTACATACCCAGGACGCTAAACAGAATAATTAATATATATGCCTCGAAGCTGATTAATATTGTATTCATTATTAAATCATCAACAGCCTTTAATAGTCCACTGCTGGACATAGGCCTTTCCTTAGAAATGAAGTTTTGGCCTACTATACCACGCTGGCCACACGGGTTGGTATAGGGTTTGTGTCAAGTTTTCCTTCTTTTTGCAGTGCTGGTGTCCTGCGTTGTTTTGCGCCCTGAGTCGGCTGTTACGACACCCACGGGATGAATTGGGGTAGTGACATTCCGAAATCTTAATTCGTCACTACACGGACGCATTATAAAATGAATGTTTATAATTATGAAAGACAGATATTTCACTGTACGTTTATGTTAATAATATTAAAATGAAAATTTGCAAAATATTCATTATATTTATCTGAATACTAATTTTAGCGTTTTGCTTTTTCTGTCTCCAGAGCTGAGTGTAGGCGATTGTTTGTAGATGATGGACACGGTTACTCGTTGCTCTAGCAGAATCAGAATCGAGACCGAGGCCAAATATATTCTGTACCCCTATGTATATTGCATATCACTATGTGAGATGATTATCTAGTTTTGATTTAGATTTCAACTGCACGGATGGCGGAGGGGTTTAAGCGGTCGCCACGCCGCTTCCTACTACGCTAAATGTTGTAGAATCGATCCCCACATGGGACAACACTTTATGTGATCCAAAATTTATTGTTCCGAGTCTGGGTGTTCTTTGTATCCGTTTCATTTATGTTTGTAAAGTCCCCCGCGACACAGGATATATTCCTAGTACAGAAGTTTACTTTTTAAATATAAAATAAAAGATTTTTGCAAAAGGTTCTTTAAATAAAACTTCAGTTATTGTATTTAATTGTGAATCTCCTATTAAAGATACACAACTTTAATGGAGAAGATTCCTCTCTCTAAGCCCAGTAACATCATAGTTCATAGCATCATAGAATTAAACAAGTCAACAAATTTCCTTCCTTCTGGACATTTCTGGCTTTTACTATAATCTTCGATGACGGGACGCTGTGTCGTCTTTAGGTCGGTTCGAGCTCGATGTTACCTTGCTATTAACTCCTATCATAAGTAAACACTATTTCCACTATGGCAGACATGACCGGTATTCTAGAATATACTGTTGGAGATGGAATCGATCCACTTAGTTCTTTCGGTTTTCTAAGTTCCATTCTACTTACGTTCTTGAGCTGTCGTTTTAGCTGATGATAACTCATATTCTTCTCTTATCATCATTAGTTGGTCCTTCTAAAATATTGTAAATGAGTATCATATTTTGTTTCATAAATACACTAAATGATTAAAAAAATATCAATAAAATATTACTCTGCAGTTTCCAAGTCTGTCCGGTCGATATCCACTCGGACACTGATTCGGAATAGTAATCAATAATTTAGATATTCCTTCAATACAATTCCCTTTTTCATCCACAATACTTCCTTCAGGGCATTCAACCTTCGCATCATGTTCTGTAGAATCAATTTCTTGTAATTTTCCATGATATAACGGTTCTATGATTTCTATTTCACTTTTTGGACTATCATCTTCACTTGGAGTAGAATAAGAATTAACATCTGGTTCTTGAGTTGTGTCTGTATAGTGGTAATCTGGTTCTTCGTACGTCGTTCTGAATTTATCGTAGATACAATTCTTGTATAATAGCAACACTTCACTAAAATAATTAGTGAGAACTTTATTAGTTTTGGATGCTTCATTGTATTCTTTAATGATATCATTTTCATCCACTTTGCTGGAGGAGAATATTTTTATTTTGTTCACTAATGCGTCTGCCAACATTTCGTTCCAAGTCAAAGCCTTTGCTTCAGTTTTCGGTTCTTGGAAATTTTGCAATTTCCTTAAGAGTGTCCTTTGTTCGACGGAAATTTTAATTCTCGACGAGTCTTCAATGAAACTCTCTGTTTTGCCCATAAGCATGATGATGCTGACAATGTATATAAAATACATTTTTTGTTCGACACTATACAACGCGACACAATGGTAAAGTCGACTGTTTTATAGATACCGCAAAAGCGTAGTTGTTTGGTACAGTCACGGATAAAAGTGTTGAAGACATAAACGTGTATTTTAATAGGAATATGGCGAGGGGGGAAATATAATAAGTATTTGTTATATGTTCCGGATTTTTTTACCCTCAGATTACCTTAAACGTTTGCTTTATTTTAGACTGTTTATTAGCTTTCAATGTGTAGATGGCATCTATATTTATACTAGCTACATTTACAGAATAACTATAATTGTTGTGTTTTATTCTTCGGTCTTTACTACTTTTAAAGCTAACAATTACTTAAAAACTTGAGGACACATTAGTATTACTATTAAAATGTCTTAATGACAGCCACCGAATAAAATAGTGTCTGAATTGGTTTACGGACGCCGAATATTTTATCAAAATTTATTATTTAAAAAAAAGAACTAGATGCTTAGCGTTTTCAAACTTACAAGTTTCAACTCAAAGGAAAAAAAAGAGTCGTAACTGTATTGAAACTGTTATCGTCTTCTCTGTACCGTAATCTTTATCAAACTGATAAAAACGTTCAAAATAAATATTGACAATGTGACGTTAACCCTGAGGCAAAAGTTATTTACCGATATAACTAACTGAAAACACAATCACTATCTCGAGTGTCTGAAAATGTACCAAGGACAGTGATACTAACAACATTGAAAATTTAATATTGTGTACACTTTTATGCAACCGTTATTTTTAGTGCTGACTGTACTTTTTCCATTGCGTTATTACCATGGTGACAAAATTTGATAGGAAAAGTAGAGCAAGCAATGGATAATATACATCAAGGCATACATACATCTCGATACATGAAGACATTGATCCTACAAGTCACGCTGATGAATGAGGTGATGGAAGCTATTTTCAGTTCTGTGCCTTTTATTATAAAATACAGAATTGCGTGCTAAGTAGCTATCATCATTAATTATCAACAGCCTATTACAGTCCACCTCTGGACATAGGCTCTCCTTAGCCCATGATGCTAAATGGGGATTTAGTCGAACATCATGGGTAATAGAATGAATAAAAATTATATGATGTTCCACTATCGCCCGGGGGAGGGGGCAGCTTCTAAAAAATGTAAGGGGAGGAAATCGAAAACAAAAGAAAAATCCGGGCGCATCAGATATTTTGGAGATATCTTATTTGGACGTCAAAAATGCTCATATTGAAAAGTCTGACGATTTCACAGTGACACAAGCTGGTAGCGAATTGTCGAAAATGCAAACTGCAAATTTGAAAAAATCGCTATTTCGAAATACCCGAACGTGTTAGATTTTATACAGATGGTTCAGTTTGATGTTCCTGTCATAGTAGCCAAAAATCTGCCAAAAATTTTGCAGGATATTTTAAATCTGATGGCTTGAAATATTTTGATTTTTTGCTTTCTATAAAATGTGACAAATAAAGTCACGAAAAATTATGTAGACATTTAAAAAAGGTTTTTTTCATCAAAAATAAATGACAAGGTCCTGTGTATTTTTTTGGAACTTTGTGACCCTCCCACTGCTTTATGTAATGTGTGGGTAATTGACTCTACTTACCTTAATCTTACACGCTCGAGTATTTCTGATCTTATGGGCTGCCCTAGACGACCCCCCTTGTATGTAGGACTCATGTACGGTGGAGTTACTCGACCGGGTGTAAAGTATTTCTTAAGCTCCTATGTTAATTTGCCTCGCTCGATTAAATCCCGAAATCCCTTCTAGAGCTCCCCTACTATTAGAAAGGGGTTCTGGCCTACTATACCACACTGGCCAGACGGGTTAGTATTATGGTTTGTTTGTTTAAGTTTTCGTTCTCTTTGGAGTGTTGTTGTCTTGCGTAGTTTGCTCGCTTAGTCGGCTCTTACAAGTATTGTTTTTTTCTTTTCTGTTTTTTTTTTAAGTTAGAGGGGGCAGACGATCAGACGGGTCATCTGATGGAAAATGACCATCGCCGCCCATGAACGTCTGAAACTCAGGAGTAACAAACGCCGTCCTTTAAGAAAGGAGTACGCTCTTTTCTTGAAGGTTTTGTATGTGCCTATAGAAATTTCACACGTCATAAAAACAATTCCGATTATGTGTTTTAGTAGAAACTTACAGATTTAAAATGACTTTACAATATTTATCGGTGAAAAAGACATTCATGTGCAACTGAAACCTAGCTTCTCTATTTAAAAAAAAAAGTTGTCCGTGTGATGACGGATTAAGAATACGGAATGTCACCACCCCAATTCATCCTGATGGTGTCGTAACAGCTGACGAAGGGAGCGAACTACGCAGGACAACAGCCCTGCAAAGAGATGGGAAACTTGACACAAACTCTATACCTTCCCGTCTGGCCAGCGTGGTATAGTAGGCCAAAACCTCTTTGAGTGAAGGGGAAATGAGAGGACAATGCATATTGGGACAAAGTAGGACAAAATATCTACTTCTGCGACGGCGTGATTGAGGAGGAAGCTCAAAAGACTGCTGTTATTCTGCTTCTTAATGGAATAGAGAGGTTCATAGCGAAATTTTTTTGGAAATGTTCAATAAGGTTTTAAGAAATGGTGTCAGACGAGCTGAGTTTTGTTAGCTAAGTTGTATTACAAATATCCTATAGATAATTATTTACTTAAAACAAAATGTTGTACTGAGACAGATTTAATGATATGGGCAATCTCTCCCAGTCAACCTTTAGATGACCATCCACAAAATTAGTGATTAAAGACTGTGGTTTAGAAAGTTGTTGTTGAACTGTGGTTTAGAAAAAAATTATTAATTCGTCGTTCGTAGAAAATATTAATCGACTGCATGGATGGCGTAGTGGTTTAAGCGGTCGCCACGCCGCTTTCTACTACGCCGAGTGTTGTGGGTTCAAACCCCACATGGGACGACACTTTGTGTGATCCACAAATTGTTGTTCTGAGTCTGGGTGTTTTTTGTGTCCGTTTCATGTATGTTTGTAAAGTCCCCCGCGACACAGGATTTATTCCTAATGCGGGAGTTGTCTTTTTTAAGAAAAAAAAAAATTTTCATGCTCTGATGACTTAAGCCTCATCGAAAACCGATATTAATAAAAAAAACATTTCTTTTAATCGAGTGGGTTAGGTTACCCCCGCCCCCCTACCTCTTATGGCAACACGCTTGTCTCTTGAATGTCAGCATCAAAATCATCAATAATCAAATTTCTCCCCAAATTTAGGTTCCTCAGGTTTATTTGGGGCGAAATTTGATTATTGTAAAATATATTGATATTAACACTAAACCGAACTCTAATTAAGTATAGCATAAAAAGTATAGTGACAACCCTATGAAGGCTTTTCTTTACAAAATTTCTTTTGTGTGACCCTGACCTCACACTTAAATTTGATTACTCTTACATTTCGCAAGATATATGTATTTAATGTATTTTAACACGAATCCAGGTATGGTTTCCAGGACATCAAACCTTTATATAAGTTACAGTTTTCGTCCAAATACAGACGAACAAATTCTTGAGTAAATATTTCACAAAAATAAGCATACAATACATAACTTTTTAAGTAAATAATCCTTTTTCACATAAATATGGGAAAGATATCGACAATGAGACATCTTTCTTCGTATAGTAGTTTAAGAATATCGAAGAAGTATTTAGGTACCTACTCCATTATTTCATCTTTTCGAGACAAGTTGAGCTGGAACATATAAAATGTCCATATTTTGGCTAATTTGTTTTTGAGCTTATGTAATAATTGCATTGAGAACCCCAGGGACTAATGTTGGATTCCTAGACAAAATATTAATTGAGAGCCAGTCCCGGTCAGTTCTGACCATGAGTTAGTCATCATCACATCAGAACATCAGTTCTGACCATAGTTGGCCATGAGTTTGTTTGCCCTTTCTTCTCATAAGGCTCAACCCCATGGAAACGGGCGGTTGTAGATCGGCACAGGCATATCATAGATTTTGTATGGGTTTGGTTTTTGTTAAATTTATTTGCTTACTATTTGACAAAACAAAAATTGTTGCTTTTGTGTGTGTTTATCTATGACTTTAAAGTCACATTAAAAGACGATATCAAACAATTTAAAAAAAATTATGAAATAGAGTTTGAGTTTGAGTTTGAGTTTGACAACAGTCTTTTTACAGAACTACGATGTCATCCAGGACTTGGGTTGTGGACGTCTGATTGCAGTCCTTCCGCGTAAAAAATCGCAGTTCAGCGGTGTTGTAGTAAACTTAAAGCCGAACCTGACCTAGTTTGAGAAAAAGGCTCGGAGGACCAGTCCCGGTCAACCCAAGCATTCAATGCTTGGGTTGACCGGGACTGATCTACCAAGGCTGCTACACTTTTGCCTTACCCATGAATCAAATACCTTCCTTAAGATCATCAACACATCAACTGCCTATAATAGTCCACTGCTGGACATAGGCCTACTACTATACCACGCTGGCCAGACGGTGGTGACATTCCGTATTCTTAATTAGTCAACTTAAGATGATATATAATTCTCACTGTACTTTTTAAATTTCAATAAACATTTTGTAGTCGAAATAATTTTCTTCTGAGTACTCTTGAGACATATTCTGTAATATATTTCAATTCTATTGTTATTCAACGTGTAAATATACCTAGAGCTTTACTATGAAAGATATATCATCGAAAATGAATCAACGAGTAAAATATATTCAAGTCTGAAACAAAGAACATAACAACAAAACATATATCATTTATTTCCAGAACATTCAACATCGGTATAGAAATAGTTGGTGAAATGTTGTCTACCGAACTGTGTAATGCCCCCAGCCGGGCCCGTCCGGTACGGTACCCCGGTATTGTGTTCCCGCCACGACTGACCGAAAAGCGACCAATTTTACCGATTTTTATCGAAAACATTCCAGATTTTGTTCGACATGTCATACTGGTTTTAAAGCCATGCGTAACATTCATGACG